GCAGCAATAAAAGACACTCATGCATCTCTTCGCACTTGCTGGACAGCAGCTGTCTTCTCAGGCTCACCAGAGAGTTTGGAGRCCGTGAACTGGTCATGCTGCGGCTGTCCGGAGCGGGATGCCCGCGGGTTTCCCTGTTGGCTACCGCGGGGTTCCACCGGAAGTTCCCCGCAGCAAAGACAACAGATGCTTACCATGATGATACAGACTGGACCACAATGCACCCCATACACCCCATGCACCTGTGTTTTGGTAAACAGGGAGCACCGGAAATAGATGCGCTAGAGAAGAAAAAACTTCCGGTTAAGTCGAAGCCTTTCACAATAAGAGCCGGTGCTTTCACAAAGTAGATTTATTTGAGAAATGTATYGAGGAAAAAAAGTATTTTGCATCATTTTATCCCAGCAAATACTTACCCCCCACCCCTAAATTAAAAAAAAATGTTTTCCTTATAAATTTCTGACTACATGTCAGAAAGTTTACAGGTCAAAAAAATTGCTGTTAATTAAGGAAGTTTCTMAGTTTTATCTCGGAAAGGTTTCATAAGAAAATGTCCTGTTTTTTTCTTGAAAAATTCTGAAATTAATATCAGAAATTCTGAGTTTTTTTCTCGACAAATTACGACTTTCGGAGCTCAGAGAATTTCCCTGGTTTTTCTTGATAAATCCATTAATTTCAAACCGTCTGAGTTTTTTGGCGAAGATTTTCTCCTCTTTTTTTTAAATCTAAAAAAATGATATTTGATACATATGATGATATTTATTCTACGAGCCACCTAAGTTAAAAAAAAAAAAAGAGGGCAAAATATTTGTGACGTAATCACTTCCTGCTCCGGACCACCGCGGGGCGCTGCTGCGGTCCAAACACCTTCTTCAGCTCCGTTCCCGGAAACGTGGCGAAGGTCAGGCAGTGTGCCGGTTGAGGAATGAACGATTTTGTTATGAAACGTTTTAATTCCAACCCCCCGGAGAGCCAAACCGAAGTCTGGAAAACTGTAACCCACTCGTCCTCTCTGTCGGTCGGGATTTTGCTCGGTGACATTAAAGACTGCGYACTGAACGGAGCCGAAAATGCTGCGAACCAGGAAATAGTCGMGGCCCACTCAAAAAGAGTGAAACACCGGCTCGACGCTAGTTTGGAAAATAAGTTTTATTATAGTTATAATCGTGGACTTGAAGAGYATCATTATTCAAGTTAGAAGCGCAAATGACTGGGTGGAAAGTTCCCAAACACCGGATCCAGGCTAAGATTTGGAGGAATTTATTATCCAGCTCTTTCGGCGGACAGCAGAGTCCATGGTTTCGACCCTCCTGGGGTTGTGAGTTTGTTTTCAGGGAATACAGTGACAACGGTACCAGATCTGAGTCTCTATACAAAACCAAGACGGGGTACTATGACGTCCTGGGGCTGTCACCCTCCGCCACWCAAGCCCAGATAAAGACGGCTTACTACAAGCAGTCCTTCGCCTACCATCCGGACAGAAACGCCGGTAGCAAGGAGGCCACSCTCCGCTTCTCGATGATCAGCGAGGCCTACACGGTGCTGGGAAACAAGAGCCTCCGGAAGAAATACGACCGTGGACTCTTAAGCCTGTCGGACTTACACGCCACGAACAAACACGCGTCTGCAAAGCACCGGGACTCCGCCACGCACCAGGCCGCGAGCAGGCCGTCCGCGGCGGGCAGAGCTGACAGGCTGCATTTCCAGGAGTTTTACAAAGGTCACTACGGCAAGCAGCTGGAGAGGGAGAGACAGCTCCGAGCCAAACAACAGGAGCAGCAGAAGGTCCAGGAGGAAACCTTTGCGAACGACATGGATGACCATGTCAAGTTTGGTTTGTTGTTCATGGCCCTGATAGCCGTGGGGATTTTATTCACTATAAAATAAGAAATACACGCAGTGACACTACTTTTCTCTTATAAGCACTCATTGTYACAATGAGCACATACAAGATGAGAGAAAGTCAAGAACAAGAAAAATATAAATTAAAGAGTATTTGAAGCTTTATTTTCTTATACAGTTTTTAAAAATTATATGTAATAATTATTTCAGCTGCAGGCCTCAAGTATTTATAACATTTTTTTTATTATTTTGACTTGC